TTTGGGTTGTGTAATGCACCGTCTACGTTCATGAGATTGATGAATGAAGTCTTAAAGCCTTTTTTGAATCGTTGTTGCGTTGCTTATTTTGACGACATTTTAGTGTTTAGCAGCAATTTCAACGAGCATTTGAAAGATATCCTAGAGACATTAAGGCAGAACAAGCTATATTTGAATATTTCAAAATGCAAATTTTCTACTTTAAATGGTGCCCTTCTTGGGGTTCAGAATTTCAGCTGAAGGCGTTAGTGCTGACCCTCGTAAAATTCAAGCCATTAAAGACTTGCTGATTCCGTCTTCATGCACAGACATTCATAGCTTCCATGGGTGGCAAATTTTTATAGAAGATTTATTAAAGGTTTTAGCATCTTAATGGCACCCTTGACAGATTTACTAAAGCAGAAGAAATTCTTTTGGGGACAAGAGAAGGAAAGAAGTTTTAACATTATAAAGGAAGCATTAACAAAAGCGTCAGTTCTTGCCTTGCCTAACTTCGAGAAACCATTTATTGTAGAAATTGATGCTTCTACCATTGGAGTTGGCGTAGTTCTTTCTCAAGAAGATAAGCCAATCAAATTTTTCAGCAAAAAATTAAGTTTTCCGAGACAACGGTGGACTGTATACGAACAAGAGTTATATGCAGTCGTCCGAGCTTTAAAACAATGGGAACATCACTTACTCCAACAAGATTTTGTTCTACACAGCGACCACAAGGCCTTACAGTATATCAATACATAAAAAAACATCAGCATGATGCATGCCAGATGGGCTTTATTTTTACAGAAATTCACTTTTGTGTTAAAGCATAAGAGTGGGAAGCAGAACCGGGTTGCCGATGCATTAAGCCGTAGGGCGGCTTTGATCACTCAGTTACAAACGGAGTTTATGTGACTTGAATGCTTACAGGAAATGTATCATGATGATGCTAATTTCAATGAGTTTTGGCTCAAATGCATCAACAAAGAACCATTGGAAGAGTTCTCCATTAGGCATGGATATCTCTTCAAGGGAAATCTGCTCTATATTCCCAAATCATCTTGGGGACAACAAATTATAAAGGAACTGCATAAGTCTAGCCGCTCACATAGGCAAAGATAAAACTATTTCTCAATTGCAGCTGAGATTCTTTTGGCCACATTTGAGAAGAGATGTGACACACTTTGTGGAGAGATGTTCCATATGCCAGAACTATAAGGGTGGTGGTCAAAACACGGGATTATACTCACCATTGCCGGTTCCTAAAACTATTTGGGAGGATTTGAGCTTAGACTTCGTGCTCGAATTGCCTCGTACCTGCCGCGGTAATGATTCGATCATGGTTATGGTAGATCGATTCTCTAAAATGGCGCATTTCATAGCTTGTAAGAAGACATTTGATGCTTTGAACGTGGCGAAGCTGTTCTTCCGTGAGATTGTGAGGTTACATGGCATACCTCGTTCATTAACTTCGGATCATGATGTGAAGTTCATAAGCCACTTTTGGCAGGAACTTTGGAAGCAGTTAAACACACAAATTCAACTCAGCTCGTCTTATCACCGGCAAACTGACGGGCAAACGAAAGTGGGAAATCGCACTTTGGGTAATTTGCTGCGTTGCTTGGTGCAGGAAAATCCTAGATTATGGGATGAAGTGTTGGGGAAAGTTGAATTCGCATTCAACTCGATGTCAAACCGGTCGACGAGTAGATGTCCATTTAGCATTATTTATACTAAATTACCAAACACCATTGCTGATATTGCAGTTCTACCAAAGTGCACCAACAAAGCTGCTTCCAATCTGGCCGAACAGTTGACAGACATGCTGTCCAAGGTGCGGCTACAACTGCAGCAGTCCAATAGCAAATACAAGGAGCAGGCATACCTGCACCGAAGGGAAAAAAGATTTATAACCCTGGTGACTTGGTCTGTGTGAGCTTCGACGGGAGCGTCTTCCGAGTGGATCCTATTCAAAACTCAGCCGCAGAAAATTTGTGCCATTTGTTGTAGTCCACAAGATTAACAATAACTCCTACGTTATTAATCTACCTGTTGAATTCAACACCTCGCATACTTTCAATGTGGCAGATATTTTCCCTTACTTACCCCCAGATGATGAAGGCGATAATTCTAACGCTGCAGGCAACAACATTTTCGCACCAGAGGAGAATGATGCGGAGCATCTTAAGATCGATGTTGAGGCGGAATAGTTAGTCACACTGAGCCTTTCTGTTAGTGGGAATGTTCCCACTAATGTTTTCCATTTTTAGTTCGGTAGCATATGAGTAGTTTGTTAGCACCTTTTTACTTTTAGTACTTTTTCATTTAGGAAGCTGGGTTGCCTTTCTCTTATCTTTCGCAAAGGCTTAGGAGACGGTAGTTCTTTGGTTTTTAGAAACAGAAATTTATCTTCTTACTTAGAACAAGGTACTGTTCTATCAATTCTTGCTGTCTTTGCTAATCTGCTGCAGGTACCTTCATCACAAGGGGGCAAAGAACGAGCAGGTGAGCATAAGCAGTGTGGCAGCAAGCGTGAACAGCATGCAGGCAATCATGAGCTGGGGGGAGCGCATGAGGGTGAACACGAGGGCAACGAGCAAGAGGGGCGTGCAAGCGCGAGTATACAACTAAAGACATGTGCTGTGTTGGCCAAGTGATTTTGGGGTTTTCAGGTTAACTTGAATTCAACCTGAATTTAAAATTGGATCATAATTTGAAACTCGAATTCTACCTATTTTTCGAACAAGTTGACTCGAATAAAAAAAAAAATTAATTAAATTTGGATCAAAATTTTAAATTGTGTCAAATATTTACACCTCTCTAATTAAGTTTATGAAACCAACTCCAATTAATAGGACAGATCTTAATTTTATTTTACTTCAGAATAAATTGTAATTCGTTATATACATAATGTACGGTTTATTTAAAAAAAATTCAATTCAACGCGCTTTTCGCGGTTAATGTGACGTAATTCTTGAATCCCGCACGGCATTGACCTCATCCCGTGAAGTTGCTAAGCCTCCGCCTGCTGATGATTTATATTTTGTCTTACCCAGGCTTCGTTTGAAAATCTTTTTTACCATTTATTTTTTCAAAAATGCAATAATATTTTCTGTTTGGTCTTTTTCTTTCACAGCTTACAAAATATTTTTTTAGCTAAGAAGCTTATTTTTATAAATAGCTTTAAAAATATTTTTTTATAATAATTTATAAAGCTGTAAAAAAAATCTTAATACTTTTATTGTTTATTTTATCAAATTGAATGAGTTTCTGAATTAAAAATAAATGTAGTAAAATATTTGTATATACGTTTGAAATGTATTAAAATACGATGATGAACAAGGGCAATGGATGAGGACTGGCAATAGCGAGTGGTGGCAAATGGGAATTGCTAGCGAGTATAGCATGGGACTCGAAAATCATCTAATTTAAATATTTTTTTAATGCAAGAAAAATAATTAAAATGATTATTATATATTACACTTATTTCAAAAAAAAAAAAATTTATGATTATGAAACTTATCATATCAAAATATCCCTACCTAAAATTTCTACATGATTGATCGCACTCTTATCTCATAATAAATTTGATGATGATAAGCCATATTTTCATTAAATTTGAATCACATGTTCTAAATTCTTTTCAGTGTGAAAAAACTTTTGTCCGATGAGACGGCATCAAGCAATCATGCGCCAGCACGTACCCATCTTGGACTACTCTTAAGCTTGGTATGGGACATCTTTCTTACTATTTTCTAAAGTAATTTTTTAGTATAAAAAATATTTTGAACTAGAAATTTTAATATTATAAAATTATTTTAGAAAGTAATTAAAAAATTATCCCAAACAAAATCTTATTTAAATATTTTTTAAATAAAATATGTACTTCTTATTTATATTTTAAAACTAATTTACTTATTATATTACATGAGAAGGTTAGCAGTGTTGAGGTGTGGCCTCGTCCATGACCGTTGCTGGGAGAAAGTCCCATATATCCAATCTTGACATACAAAGCAGAGGTAAGATCCAAGATGAGTCAGCAAGTTCTAGAACAAGTTTAAGGCTAGCTGTCTCTTTAAATGATTAAACCGGCAAAGAAAAATAGAAGGCCAAATAAGGAGTTTTTCTCTTCCTTTCAGAGGAAGCGATCTGCATCACATAATGTCAGCAATCGGAAAAATTATTACGTGCAGAGGTTGAACATATCCGGAGGTCAATTAGCAGTCATCATGTTATCCAATATACAGTGCATTATATGATTTGACAGCTCCTGATTGATCTCTAGCGACGTCGGCACGTAATAATCTTTTCAGCAATCATGTGTTTCTCTCTCTTAAAGAAGCGAGTAGCACTAAGAAAATTGAGGTTTTGATTGAGATAATTTTTTTAACATTTTAAAAAATAATTTTTTAATATAATTTACTTTTTAATTTAAAAACTTTATACTAAAAAATTGCTTTAATAAGCAATAAAAAAGCTGTTCCAAACAAAGTCTACTTCGGTTCAGCAATTGAACATCTCCAAATGCTAGTTCAGGCATTTTTATAAATATTGTAGAATTATGATAATGAAATATTCTTTCGCTGTAATATATTAATATATATTAGTTGATTCATTGTATGTAACAATAACACTTCATTCTCTTCATTATTAGTTGTATTGTATTTCAATTAAATATTTTGGGTCATGCAGAGGGATCTGATTTACAAGCTATCTGTAATTTTTAAACTAAAATCATTTTATTAACTGTCAAATTAGATGCACTGTGCTTTTGGTCTTTTATTTTGTTAGCTTGCCAATGAACTTTACAGGCAAGTATGATACTCTCTTTATGTCACTTTCCAATTTACAGCTATGCCACTTTCTATTAATTAAATTTGTTTCATTAGCAGTTATTTTTGACTCAGTTAATCATAAATTTATATTATTATAACAACCATCAAAATAGTAGCATTTATGCACTTCTAAAGTAAGGTTGTCTTCAAAACCTTTTTTGGGGGGTTTGTCTTCAAACTCTTAACTTGAATAATATTCCACACTTAGATTTTATGTGTGTAATCTTTACGTAGGGGTCATACTAATCTTCTTTTTATTGTTCCAATTTAATCGGATGTCTCCAAAGAGATGATTTTCTTATTGTTTCTAAAAAAAATTTAAATGAAGCCTAAGAGTTTATGAGAATCTAGGGGTGTCAATTTTTGACACGACACGAAACACGAAATTGACCCGAAAGTGACACAAAAGCTCATATTTGACCCGAAAACCTATGATTGACCCGTTTTTTAACCTGATTTTGACCCGAAAATCGAATATTGACCCAATTTTTTACCCGAAAATTAGCAATTTTAGGTCAACTTCGGGTCATTCGTGTCGGGTCGGGTTGACCCGGCTCGATTCGGATCGGGTTCGGGTCCGAAAACTTGACCCGAACAGTTCCGGGTTCGACCCGAATCCAACCTGCTGACCCAAATTGACACCCCTATGAGAATCTACTCTAAAAAGGTGAAACTTCTTGAAGTCATGTCCTCGACATTCATTTTGTTCTTTTTGGAAGATGACCATGTAAATAATTGAACAATACAAATTCATGTGGTTGTTAAGAGATGTTTCAAAAGTAATCAATAAAGAAGTTATGTTGAGAACATGAATTTTCTGGAACAAAAATAGATTCAAATGGACAAAAGAAAAAAAAGCCCAATTGATGGGGAACAAAGAGTTGAAGCTACAATATGAAGTTATGTATTTTTCAGAGTCAAATAACTTTTATTACACCTACTACATAACAAAACTGGCTCAAAACTCATATGAATTAGCAGATAAGATCACTTTATAGTATAAGGCTTCGTTTGAAACCGCTTTCTTTCTGCTTTTTAAAAATAACTTTCTATTAAAAAAATTTCTAATTGTAGAAAAAGTTATGGCTGATTGTAGCCTGCCTTATATTCGGCGCTGAAACTCTCAATCTATCATTGAATGAAATGGAATCATGATAAGCTTCCAAAACCTGTGCCAAGCAGAAATTACAGCTTCTAGCTGGTTGAAGCTTTTTTCAGGATATTTTACAATAAACTGAACCTGAATTCTCCAGTATACTTTTTTTTTGGGTAAAATTTGGGCTTGGCCCGTATATTAATGATAAAGAAAAGTTACATGAGAAATAACCCCCCAAAGGCTAAAAAAGAAGCCCCAAAAAAATTCCTGTAACCAACAACAAAAAATACAAGAAATAAACCTAAGAAATCAGAAATCTCGCCCCCAAGCTGCAGCAGATACAACCAAAAACAGCAAAAGAACATCAGCAAACAGCCTTTTAACAAAAGGAACAAAAAAAGAACAAAAAAGCTCACACAAAATAAGAAGCCTGGACTCAGAATAAATTAGATAATCAGCACACGTCAAATATAATCAGTTCCCCTGGTTGCCCGAAGACCATCCGAGGGGGCCAGCAGTGGGAGATTCATCATCGTCTAAGCCTCAGTCGAAGGCAGCAGCTGGCAAATCGAAGGCAACTGAACAAGATCCAACAAAATAATAAAACCCCGCTTCGGAACCACGCCAGAACAACTCCAGAATGTCTTCATTTCTTCTCCACTTCAAAGCCTTTTCAAACACTGCTTTCTTGATAGCCATGACAGTAGTGGTATAGCAATTGAAAGAATTACCAAACCTCCTAATGTTTCTTTCCTTCCATATAAAGTAAATAGCACAGCAAGTGAAAAGATGGTAAAGGGATTTAACATGCGGCTTTGCATTAATCTCACCATCAATCCATTCTCCCAGTTGCAGAATAGAAGGTCTAAGTAGAAACCTCATAACGGGCAATAATATTTATAATTTTTTGAAATATTATTTACTTATTTCATAAAAATTCATTAAAATCCTCCAAAATTAATTAAAAACGGGTCAAACCGGGTCGATTTCGGGTTTCCGGGTTAACCCGAACCCGACCCGGTTTTACAAACGGGTCGAATTCTCTAACCCGAACCCGACCCGGTTCGGGTTCGGGTTGACCCGAACCCGAAATTTTCGGGTCGGGTTCGGGTCGGGTTTTCGGGTCAGGTCTAATATTGACAGGTCTACTCATAACAGGTGGCATAAGACTAGAGATCACAGCAAAAGAGTAAGAACATTCAAAGAAGAGGTGTGAAACATTTTCAGGATGTTCAAAACATAGGCTGCAGGTCATAGGGACTGAAATGTTTCTAGAAAATAAAGCATCCGCAGTTTTCAAGCCTCCCACGACAGCCATCCATGAATAACAGGAGTATCTCAGAGCAAATTTATGGTGCCAAATAATGTTATGCCAAGTACACTTAGGATGGGAAGAGTAAAACTCAGAGATGTAATTGCTAAATTTCCCAATTTCAAAATTATCCCAAACCAAACAAGGTGAAGAGTAGTCTAAAATAGGGATTTCAGAAATTAAATTTCTAACATAAGCAGACACAAAATTCGGAATATCCCAAGACATACTCGAAATAATAACCTTCAGAGGGGAGTTAGAATGATAAAAATTTAGTAAGGAACTCCCATCATTGCAAGTTTCAAGTTTACTATCCTGATACCAGTGATCACAGTGCAACGAAATAGGTGCCTTGGAGGTAATGTTAAAATGAAACTTGGCCTTAGCAGCAACAGCAGTCCTACAAACAGAGAGCCAGAATGTGGAGGAGCTTTGAGATGAAGGTTTCCAAGGTGAGGAATACCTACTAAACAGCCAAGTAGAAAGAGGCGACTCCACATTATATATTCTGAGGATTAAAGAACAGAGAGTGGCATATTGAAGGGCCTGAAAGGAAGGTAACCCGATCCCACCATTTTCCTTGGGAGCACAGCATTTATCCCAAGAAACCATGTGCAGTTTTTTGCCAGCCGTGTGATCACCAAAGAATAAAAATTTTGAGCACAATTTCTTTAAAAATTTGAAGACAGATTTAGGTATTATAGAGCCTCGAATCCAATACGCAATAGAGTTAAGAAGAGTATATCTTAAAAACTGCAGGCGACCCGCAAATGAGAGCAAGTTAGCTTTCCAACCAGATAGTTTTTTTGAAATACTTTCTATAAGAGGCAAAAAATCAGAGACCTTCAACCTTTGAAAGACAAAGGTATACCCAAATAATCAAACTTTTCACTGATAAGGGGGATGGACAGAGCTCTGCATATGTTATCCGGATTTAACAGGTTTTTAGGCAGCAAAATAGAGCTTTTATCAAGATTAACATGGAGTCTAGAGACATTAGCAAAAGTACTTAGGATATTTGTAAGAGAGTTGCAGTTTTCCGTAGTAGCTTCCCCAAAGATAAGCACATCATCCGCATAGAGAAGATGTGTTAAGGTAAAACCATCAATAGAGATACCTTTAAAAGAACCAGCATCCAGCAAATTTGAGAAAGCATCCATGACCAGACAAAAAAGATAGAGGCTGAGGGAGCACCCTTGCCTAAGGCCAGCTGAGGTAGAGAAATACCCCTCAAGAGAACCATTAATCAGAATAGAAAAATTCACATCAGAAATGCAAGCTTTAATCCAGCTCACCACTAAAGAGGGAAAACCTTTTTGCTTCGACCTAGCAAGTAAGAACTCTCTTGAAACCGTATCAAAAGCTTTCCGAATATCAAGTTTAGCACAGAAATATTTGCCCCCACTTTTTTTTCGAATATAGGTCATAATTTCATTAGCTACAAAATATTATCCGTAGATATCCGTGATTTAATAAATCCTGACTGATTATCTTTAACAAGAATCGGTATAATAGGCTTGATCCGGATAGCAAGGACCTTTGCAATAATTTTATAGAAAGTATTGCAAAGCGCAATAGGCCTAAAATCCGCCAAAGTCTCTGCATTCTTAAATTTGGGGATAAGAGCAATAGCAGTTGCTTTTATCCCACTAGGCATGTATCCTTTAACAAAGAAGGATCTAACAGCTTTAATCACCATAGGCCTTATAATATGCCAAGCCGATTTATAAAAGTGGAAATTGTACCCATCTGGTCCAGGAGATGAAGTTGAACAACCCATAAAGACCACCTTTTTGATTTCCTCATCAGTGACATATTTAGTAATGCTGTTAGACAAATCAATGGGGAAGGTAGAGCCCAAAGGGAAAATACCAATATCAGAATTCTGTGGAGGAATCGGATTGTAAATATGTTGAAAGTGAGTAACAATGGAGTTAATCACTTCACCCCTAACAGAGTTAGGAAAGGAGGCAAAGAGGTTAACAGCCGAATTATTCCTTCCCTGCCTGCACCGAATTTTTGCAAAAAGAAACTTAAGATCATCCTCCCCATTCTTGAGCCACTTTACTTTAGCTCTTTGAATAACCCATGTTGCAAGAATACCAGTGAAATTAGCAATGCTTTGGTTAATTTCTTTCAAACTAGCATTGAGAGAACTATCATTTGGTGATGCTTGAATATACTGCAAACATTCCATTTGTTTTTTATGTAAAGCATCCAGATGTGAATTGACCAAAGTGGAGGAGGCCCAAGATTCCTGTTTAATAGCAATCTTAAGACATTTAAGAGAGCTATACAAGTGAGAAATAGGATTACCCGAGGTATGGTGAGAAAAAGCCTGCAAAAGTAGGGGCCAGTACTTTTCAACATTGGTCCAATAATTTTTAAACAGGAATCTGTGATGAACTTGCAAAGAAATCCCAGAATGCAAGACAAGAGGACAATGATCAGAGCAAGAAGGGCTCTGATAAGAACAATAAGATTTTGGATAAGTATCCAGCCAGGCAGTATTAATCATGGCCCTATCCAACTTGATGTGAATAGGCGAGTCAGATTTCTGATTGTACCAAGTAAATTTACAGCCCACAGAATGGAGATCCGAGAGACTATTAGCAAAGATCATTGCATTAAAATCCGCAAGGGCATTGGGGGAGATAGCCGAACCCCCTAATTTTTCAGAAGCAAATCGGCAACAATTGAAGTCCCCAATGAGAAGCCAGGGGGTATTATGATGCGGAGCAATCTGGTCAATTTGAGACCAAAGAGTTTTCCTATCTCCAGTATACTTCAGTAAACATACAAAAGATTAGCTGATTAAATGAACTCTGCGGCAATTGCTGCCAAACTTTTTTATTATTATTATTTCTATAATGTTTAGATTTGGATGAATAATACATACAATTAACGACACAGCAATATTGTAACCTAAACATCTTTTCAAGCAGGAAGCTCATTTTTCTACAGTCTTCCAACTCTTCAATCAATTTGAACTTTCTAACGATCATTTGGATACATGAATTGATTAAGAAATGAACACCTCGAGAGAAGATTTCGCAAGCCACAGCAATCCAGGATCGTTCCTCTTGAGCACCAAATAGGCTTCAGCAACACCAACCGCATCTACTACAACATCTTCAATGAAGCCTACCGTACTGAGAACCTCCATTGCAGCTGTTTGGAAGCAAACATCATCAGCTCATAGCATAAAAAAATATGAAAATAAATGAAGTACAGGACTTTTTTATGTACAGAACAGGCAGATGGAGGATATGAAGGATTTGACCTTTATAATTTGCTACATTCCTCTGAAACTGAGCATTAGCCTGAAAATTTTGTAAAAAATATAGACGGTTGAGTAGCCTCTCTATAAAGGAAAATATTAGGTCCGTACACCGGATATAGAGATAGGTCTGGACGTCAATAAAATGTCGACACGTGGAGTGGACTCGTAAATATTCAATATGTTTAATGCATCCGCGGAACTTTAAGCCAAGCACATCAAAAGCGCAGGTAAAGCGCAGTTAAAACGCAACTAAAGCGTAGGTAAAGTGCAGGTAAAGCGTACAAAAAAGCACAACTAAAGTGCACTCCATGTGTCAAATTTTGTGAATGTCCAGACCTATCTCTAATTCCGGTGTTCGGACCTAATAATTTTTCCTCTATAAAAGAATGAGTGGAAAAATGGCCACTAAAAAATTCACACACCTTCTTTATCCTTCTGAATTTTAGTTCATCTGGGTGCTCTATGATATTCCTGTAATAAAATTACACACTGGTTAGGAAGTATAACGCAAAGCAGGAAAGAACACAAATAGATATTAGACCCAGAGAATCATAAGAGAACCTGATGATCTTCAAAAGTGTCTGAAGAACTAAAGAAGCCACATGAGGGGTTAATTCGGATCTCAGTGACCTGATGGATTCTTGAATCCGAGCACAGATAGCAGCCACAGGCTCTTCAATTCTTTGTAATTCTATATTGTCTGAATCACGCATATGGCAATCAAGATCAGACTCAGCCTTCACCAATCCAACGTCCAAGGAACTGATTGAATCTTGTTGCACAAGGTTCCCACATTCTACTGAAACCTCTTCACCTCCATTATCAGAAACAGGTTCATCAGAGGACAAAGAAGCTTCTTCATGGGAAACATCATTATCATCCACATCAATCATGGTGGGTTCAGAAGAGGAAGCCAAACTTTCATGTATGATACCATCGAGAACTAGATTATCTACTTTATTCTTCAACATCAGAGCATTATCAAAATCCGGCTCAGCATTTTTGTTATCCCGAACATATTTGAGTCTTTCATCATCATATTCACCATCCAAAGAATCATTAATGGCATCCACTTGTACAGATTTATTCTGTGCTTGAAACCCTGACAAGCTACTCATACTAGAACTTATATTGCGATGGTAAGCTGCTGCCACAGAGGATGCACGCGCAGTAGAAAACGAATTGGATCCTCCTCCGAGCCTATGGCCAACATCATCAGCTTCCAAAAGGTAATCTACATCATTATTGTAATGATTTGACACCTTTTGGCCACTTAAAGTTTGACTTCTTGTCTTTGACCAATCTAAGCTTGCAGCTTCTTCATTCAGCTAATACCAAACAAAACAGAAATTAGGATCTTGTGTCAGAATCCAAAAAGAACTCAAACTATACAACTCATTACCTGTTTTTCTAGGGCTAAAAACTTAGTATCGTGTTCAGAGTGCACCATATGTGCCTGCAAAATGAAAAGGAAAAAAAAAACAAAAAAATAATTATAAAGAGGTTTATAGATAATAATCAAAATTATAAGAGTTACAAGCAGCCAAGTTGTGAAAAATACATACAAGTTCATGTAGCAAGGTTTTCTTGATGCTTTCATATTTCCGAAATCCTTTCAGATCATCTGTTCGCAGGCGAAGAGAAATTTCCTCCCCATGATTCTAAATGAAAAAGATATCATAAATGGTGGTAAATATTGTTAGTGTCACCCATTCTCCTCCAATTAATTCATCCATGCAAAGTTAGAGGCTTATTAGATTTTCTTCACCTTATTGAATCCTAGTATGCATTTAGGACTGATACCAACATATCCAACAGGAGCTAACTCTGTCATTATCCCCACCCGCCAGCGGTGCTTGAAAATGACCAAGATACTTAATGTGAGAAATAGCATACTACAAAATACATTATTGATGCAAATAGATACACATATACCTTATTCATGATGGCAATGATTCCAGGATCACAAGCAAGAACGTGCATTATTCTAAGCGCCTTAGATGGTGGTGGATTCAACTGAAATAAAGTGTAGGAAAATCAAGTGAAATCAGAATAATTACAAAAATGTAAAACAAATTAACATGTTATTTCAATCTGAGATATTCAATGATGGTAGATGGTGCTGGTGCGTAAAAGCTACATAAAATAGCATGGAGGTGCGTGAGAAAACACAGTAAAGCTTATGATTATTTCCACCATCAAGGAACTATACAACTTCGTAAATTGACCTTTCCAAACATTAAGATCAAGCCTCCAGCTCAATTTCCTAAAGAAAATTAATGCGAATATACCAACCTTAATCCCAGGCAGCTCTAGTGTGTGGAAATCACAAAATATGTAAGGTCCTTGTGGAAGTTTAAGAGAAGCTGAAGGTTTATATGATGATAGCTGTCTCAATCGGTTGTCTTCCTCTTCAAAACCAGCTATTCTGAGGTCTGCTCTCGTATTATTTTGAGAAACTTCTTTAATTTCATCATCAAAAACGCCCATCATTCTTACAGGTTTCCCCTGAGCAAAAACACATATAATAAATGATAAACTAAAATAAATTCAAAAAGGACAAGATTAACATTTTAACAAAGAAATCAAAATTCTACAGAATTCAGTTTGTTACCCTTACACTGACAGATTGTCATTACCAACAATTAAAAGGATCACATCACGTAGATAAACAATAAAGTCCAATTTGCTAAGTGAAACAATACATGTTTGTCAAAAGGAAGTTCTAAAGTTCACACATGTAAGATTTTTTACACAGAAACAAGTGATCCTATCAGTTATACTCATTAAAACTAGCTCTAGAAGGTATGGGAGAACAAACAGCAAATGAACCTACGTCCTCAAATAAATATCTTCTATTCAGAGTTAGGACATCAGAAAAGACAGGAACATAGCAGAAGTTTCAATTTCAAACATGAAACTTGACAAGTATCCATATATGCAATGGTTCACAAATTAAACCGCACATCTTTTACAGAAGAATCCAACAAAAACAAGAGAGATTGGGAGGTCTTAACAAAATTATTCAGTCTTATCTCCATCTTTATGTGAATAAATAATACATTGTTAGTAAAAAACTTGCATAGCTGGATGAACATCTCATCTACTCATCAGTCACTTGATCCCAACTATTTTGAGGCCTGCGTTAAAATTCTTTTCTTGCAAACAAGTGATATTTAATCTTCTTCTGATCATTGTGAGCATTGACTATTTGAAATCCACTTTAAGGCTTCGTTTGAGACGACTTTCTTACTGCTTCTTAAAGAGGCTTTCTAGTTCAAAAATTAAAATTTTAATACTAAAAAGTTGCTATAAGAAGCAGAAAGAAAGCTGCCCCAAACGAAGTCTAAAGCTTCCACATTCTATGTAGCAAATGTAATCATAGTATTAACAATTAAGTGGAGTTGTGGGAAATCCCATGTAAGTTATTTCTTCGTTAACTCACTGTTAGAAATTTGTTCTTAACATGTAGGCTTATGCAAAAAAAGAAAATTCCACCAAGATAGTGAGGCGAGTTGTGAATTCAGTCGAACAATGAGACATGGTTTTAACAATTCAGTCGAACAATGAGACATGGTTTTAACATTTCCCCCTTCAAGAGCTGGAAGATAATAATTTTAGCCAAATATGAAATAATGAGTTGACATACACAACAAGCATTGAGCCAAATATCGATGTATATTAAGTTCAAAATAATTAGACAAACTCAGCAATAGATCACAGTGCATAAAAACATGGCTCAAGCTAAGATTGCACTCTCAAGGATTTATAAACCCTTAAAAAAAAAAAAAAAAAAAAAAAAAAAAAAAAAAAAAAAAAAAAAAAAAAAAAAAAAAAAAAAAAAAAACTTGAAATGCATAAGGCATCCATGCTTAGTATCTCACCTTGATAATGCCTGTTTCTTGTATTTCTACACTTGAATTATCAGCAGAAAATGGAGCAAGCAGCCTTGAACCCTTAGTGTTTGTTTGTGGAACAAGGAGCTTCAAAGTATCAGGCCTTACATTAGTTAGCTCCACCAGTTTCTTCCCTAACTCTCCTAATGTCCATCTTGTGTTCACCTCCACATTCAACTTCGTGCCCCTCCAAATAACTTCAACATTTATTGTGCCTTCTTCCATGTTATACAAGAGAAGTTGGGAAGTTCGTTGCTTGAATATACTTGTTGCTGTTATTTTAATGCTGCCAAACACAATGAAATTTACTGATATTCACAAGAGAAAGAGAACTGCAAATAAAGAAAGGGCTGATGCAGAACATAACAAAAATAAAAGTATAAAACTGCTTATGCAAAAACCAAGTATGAATTTCTCAAATCTATATTAGACACTCAACGTTTTGAAGGGAAATTAATAGGAACTAGGAACAAATAATATTCCAGTCAGTGAAGAGAAAACAATCTAAATATTATCCCATAAATTCCATGAAATCATAGCTCTAAAGCATTCTACTTCCTAAATAACAATCCGCTGTAAGAGAATAAAACAAAACAGCGAGAAAAATAACGAAATCTTTGCTACCTATCCAGAAAAATAAAAAAGTGATACAAGCGTGGATACAAATTCCCTTCAAAAGGCATGCAAATCTGCAAGCCAGCTCAAGAAAAATATCAATGGCAGCGATTTATAAATAAGGGTTATCACATTCAAATAATTGCCAACATAGAATAGCAAATCCGGTTTATTTAAACAAACTTCCAAAGAGATTAATAATGGCCATTTCCAATTCCATGATCAAATTTCAAAATTCAAGTACTCTTCCACCCAAATACATCCCCCAAGAAACATTAATAAATGCCCCATCGAAAAATTAATGATTACCTTCACATCTAAAAACTAGCAAACACATACCGAAATGGGAAAGAACAAACAATTCACCTTTCAGCGAAAAAAAGGAAAATTTAAGAGCCAAAGCGCAATTATAAGTAATTACAAAAGCTAAGAAACAACTAAGAATGCTGAAATAAGGATTTAACGCAGATTAAAAGCATTTGATGAATGAAAAAGAACTCGTGGAGAAGAAAGAACATAGGGCTTAAGAGAGAAATAAAGCGGGGAGCTTACTAACAATTTGTAGAATCCCGATCAACGAAAAACCACACAGACAAATTGGTCAGACGCGATAAATCCCGAGCAGGAAGAACAGATGGGAGAATTGGGCAAAACCGGGTGTTTTGTAATCTGGACGGAGGAATAGTCTAGAATCAATTTCTGAGGCATGAAATTTGTCGTCTCTTTTTTTTTTTCGTAACACGGTGTCGTCAGCGATGATTCAATTCCTCCGGAGGTCACAAGATGATGGTTTATTTCTTAAAAAAAGCGAAACTTTAAAAAATAATTAAGTTAAAAGAGTATAATTTAAAAAAAAAGTATAATTATAAAAAAAGTTAAAAGAGTCAAAATAATGAAATATTTATCTACTAAACATTTGACGAAAACTCCAAATAATTTAGCATTTCTTCAATAAAATTTAAATATATATTATAGTAAAAATTTATAAATAGATATTTATTAATTAATATGTAAATTTATTTATTTTTTAATAAAATTTATATTATTACATGATTATTCTCCCATTTAAATTTTATTTAAATAATTTTTATATTTATTATGTCATTTAGTTTAACTCTAATTCAACCTTGATCGAATTATTGAACTATGAACTTCTCGTTTATCGAGTTCTATATCCGATTTGGATTTCACACACACACACACATATATACATATATATATATATAAATAATTTCTTTAAACATTATTGCATTAATTCATATACATTACATTCATGGGCTGGTAGATAATTTGTATTAGGGGGTAGTTTATTTATTTAGGCTTTATGATGTGTGTGTCCTTGAAAGAATATATATGATAGGTTCTTAGGATGTTAACTGATTTATACCGTAGTCCAAAATAAGTTTACATATACATGCATGCAGTTTTTTTC